AGCATGCAACAAGGGGAATTGGGTTCCTGAAGGGGCATTGGCACTTGGAACCATCCTGAAGAAGTGGCCATTCGCATTTGAAACTCTTGGGCGCTGCTTCTCAGCCATTCTCAACAGCATCACAAGGCTGTACAGAAACATTTTTCTCTCTTCTCTACGACTGTCTGCATTACACCATAGCAGCCAGGCTTATGGCATCTTCCATCGCCTCCGGGTCACCCATCAAACCGAGGGCCAACACACCCGAAGAACTGTTTGGTTAGTGGCATTCAGAAGGGCGGTGCAGAGTGCTGGGAAGCAGCACCCATGGGGCCAGGTGTGGGCTGTGCAGGTACAGCCTGGAGAACCAGCGCCAATGGTTTGGCTTGCAGATTTAGCCACAGCATTTGAAATAAAAGCAGCTGAACAGGAGGTGTTTAATTGCTACACCTAGCAACATGTTTAAATGCTTAAAGCAACTGTATCCTGAACTACCGCTGGAAGAGTAGGACCAGCTGTGAGTCAGCACCTCGCTCAAAAAACCTACAAAAAAAAATGTAGGTTTAACAAGTTGTCTTTTTTTCCCCCCAAAGGTGCATATCATATGTTTCCTAAGCAGGACGTGCACAATACTGACGGACATGGCATCTTCGGGTCTGCAACAATTAAAAGTAGTAACAGAATTTCAAAGGAAAGTCCACAAATGCAATCTCCCAAATATTTAGAGATCTGTGGAGCATTATTCTATTAAAGCAAAAGCCTTAAACGTCTCTGTGGATTAATACTGTAACTACTGACATTGCAATGGCACTCAGGTAAGCAGAAGTGTTTCAGTTGTTGAGGCTTGACGGTGGAAAAAGCAAATGGTTTCAGTTTTTTTTAGCTTCTCCATGCATTTACTACAAGCAACGCTTTGCAGTTCCAGGAAAACCAACATCACAATTACTTCCCTGCCTTTTGATTGTTATTTTAAAAGGCAAAGTAAGCACTTGATGCATTCCTTGTATTTCAGATTGAGCAGTCTCATTCTGTCCAAGTAATACATTTTTTTCTACAGAAAGTTCTGCCTTGATGAGTGCTGACTCAAGGCTCAGCTTTTTTTGACATTGACTTTGCAGCAAAACTCCATACAGACTTTAACTACATGCAGAACAGTGCACCTGAAGAAAACCACCTGGGGAAGGAGGAACCAGAGGCTAACAATGCCTGCCCTAGTCTACAAATCCTGATTGATGGGTACATAAACTAAGGACAAGCCCAACAACACAACACCCCGAAGGGCTGTCTTTGCACTGAATAAAAACCATTGTGCAGACAGTGCAGCGAATGTAAACACCTGACCACACACTAAAACCCTCATCTCCTAACAGAATACACCATAATAGGCTCTCAAACAACGTGCCAACAACACCAGCATCCTCAGAAGTAAGAATAGGAACTCCCATCTGGACAGTGCCATCTGGAGCAATGGGAATCATCTCCAATTTTCTCACCACGTTAACACTAATAAATCCCACAGCACTTTACAAGGAAGAAAAGCACCACTCCTGCTTGTATGGGGGTAGATCAACAGCAGGCTCTCTCTCTGAGAGAAGTGCTCCAGTTTTGCCTGTTTAACCATCTGTCATTTATTTGACATAAGAGCCCAGAATGGCTTGATAAGAGTCCCTGAAAAGGACTTGGGGAGATGAAGTTTTCCATTTGACCTTCAAAAGCTTCTGACATTACTTGAGCTGAGGGCTGGGGCTGTTCTAATGGGGGTGAAGCTCAGTGCTCCCACAGCCTCCTGCGCAGTCCCACTCAGGTGTGGGGAACACCAAACACTTCTACCTCTGCTTCTGCATACCCTGCAAGTGCTGCCACAGCTGAGATGTGGGAAATCAGCAAAAGATATCAAACTGAAACTGCTTGTGAGCAGACGTTGGAGAAAGATAAAATCAAAACCAGCCATTCAGCACATCTGCTCTGCAAAGCAAAGCATGAGAGCACAGCTCCTTAGCTAGCAGAGGCAGCTTCATAAACCAACGGCAGAAGTGTGGCTCAGCCTGGCCCTACAAAGCACTGGTGTGAACCAGGCTGCCATGCTTGCACAGTACACCCTTAGGTATGGAGTCTATGCAATAGGACTCTCAATTTTAAGGGAGGCAACCCACAACATGGGGGCACCTGCCTTGGCTCTTAGCCCCAGGGTAGAGGCCTCACAGCAAAGCAGCTGCCTTAAGTTAACCAGTTACATTCCAAAGCTGAATTAAAAGGAGATGGTGCTTTGAGAAGAAATTCTGAACAAAAAGGGCACCAGAAAATATCAGAGGTCAGGAAATGCTGAGGAAAATGCCAAGGACATCACAGACAGTTCTTAGAACAGGGAAGAGGGACAAACTACACTGAGAGAGCCTGGCTTGGGTGAGTAAATACTGGGATAACTCGCAGTTAGGCAAAATATACTCCTAAGTTACATTATGGCAACTTACCACGTGTCCTAAATGCACCATAGTGCACTAGGCAACCTTCAAGTAGTTTAGGAGAACCAGATCATGAATCCGTAATTATCACGAAGCACACAGCATTGGTTTGTGCTGAACTGATATAATCAACTTACAGTGCTGACTGCTTATTTTGCACACATAGAATACCTATTTCATTCAATTTAACAGTGAATTTGCAGTTGGCCAATAAAGCAAAAAATAGAAACCAGAAGTAAATTATTCTTTCCCAATGAATTAAGAACCAGGTTGCAAGAAGCTGATGCCATCATTAATTATGATTTAAATTTGGGGGTAACCTAGCACTACCTATAATGAACACATGCTAATAGAACTCTTCATGTGGCCAATGAAGCAAACCAAACTGGGAAGAGGAGTAGTAAAGGAGCAAATACAACTAAATGCAACTGTTTGTTTTTGGACAGCAAGATCAGCACCGAGTGATGATGAAACGACAGCCTGAAATCCATTTGCTTTGGAATCAGAAAGGACAATGACCAGAAACCTCTGCATAACTCACTAACTACAGAAGATAATTCATTTATTTAGTCAGTTAAAGTTACTAACATTTGATAACGGTTTTTTGCATATGTACCAAGCACATTCAGCATAACTTTACAGAAATCATAACTTCAAAGTGTTGCATTTCGTCACTGTCAAAATGCAGTTTGACACAAATCAAGGGGGGAAGGGGGAGAAGAGGAAACAAATACCAGTCAGCATTTCTACCATCATAATGTAAAAAATTAGAAATCTACATAACTGTAGCAAGCTGTATGGTAGTTTAAATGTGAGTACAGTGCATTTTTACAGATTGTCAGAAGGAAGAATCAAATATACCTAAAAGCTGTATCTAGCTGCAAAATAACATTTTAAAGGTTACAAACTGAAACGACCTTTCAACAGAAATCGTTACACACCTACCACTTACGATAACCCATAACTGAGTCTTCCATCTATATTGACTAAAATCAGCAATGTTATATAAACTCAATAGCCACTCTTGAAACAAAGAAACTGCAAAGTCTCAGTATAACACAAACTGTGAAATATTTTAGGACTGAATTTAAAAGTATTTCATACTGAAGAAAAAGGCAGGAAGACGCATGCTGCTTTAGAATTCTCGTTTAGCCCGTGTACTTCTCAGGCAACTGGGTAAAAAAGCAGTATTTGGAAATCCTACACAAGTGTATTAATATTCCTATTAGAAGCCCAAAGAATTAAGCCATGAACTCTGCAGACTTGCATATACAACAAATTCAGAGACATTTCTCAAAGGAGCAGGCAAGAGAAGCAAGCTGAGCTCTGAAACCATCATTAACCTGAGCAAGGGAACCCCACACAACATCTTTTGTTTTTTTCCCCTACAGCCACAGAGACTGAACTGCACCCAAATCTGGTTAGAAAAAATATTAAGATAAAGCAGTTACACCTAAAAAGGTAAGTTAGCTTCACTTTAACCATCCCACTGTTTACTTACAATTAAATGTTCTACAATGATTCCATTCGTGATAGAAACAGAGTTTGAGTCTACATGAAAACAAATGGTTTTAATCACGATTTGTAAGTCTCTGTCAAAAAGAAAATCAAGAGTAGATTAAAAGGTCCTTTTTTTTTTTTTTTCCCCTCAGGATACCTACGAAGGTTTCCAGGAATAGCCGTTGTTAAGGAATCTTATCATCTCATGTAGGACTGTGACAGCAGCACGTGATGTGATTATTCTAGTCAAAACTTCGTAATAGGAGTTCTAAAACAAGGTTGGCCACTGACCTATGAAGAGGCAAAGCTTAAGGCCAAATGGCCCCGTGAGTCACAACCCAAATAAAAGAACGCATGTAGACAAAAGCAAGTGAAGAGAGGAATAAACGGAAGAAGAACGGAAAAAGGCGAAATTCTTTTCTTCCAATTTCTCCATCCCTCACTTTTGCCGACCCGAGGGCATTCTCCCAGTGGCAGATGATACGACCCACTTTAGAATTTAACGAGAAACAAAGCCTCTCGATTTAAAAGTATACAGCTTAGAATCTGGATTAAAATATTACACTTTAAAGACACAGAACTGTGGAAGTATTTTTCAGGCCACAGCCTGAAGAGTAACTCTACCTGAACCATCCCACCACTTGTTACAGCACAGCCCCATATTAAGATCTGAAATCAAAGCAAAGGCTGACATTGTCAACACACCAGGTATTTTCCAATACATCTGCAGAGGCCGCTTGGCCCTGTGAGCAGCAGCCATACCCAGGGAGCACGGCTGCTATCCGTGTGGCTTACAAGTACCCACAGCACATGAATTTCACAGTCCAAAAAAGCCAGTTCCTTTCTGACTGAAAATAAATAATATTACACTTCACCAAAAAAATTAGAGAGAATCAAAGCCTGACATTTGTCTGGCATTGTGATTACAGAGTAGCAGTGGGGTAATATCAATCAATCTATCCCCAAAAGAACAACTTACAGTTAAATACATCATGAACTGAGAGGTTAACATATAAAAAGTTCAGAAATATCATACTGCTTCAAAAGAGTCACAGCCTATCATTATAAAGGAAGAATATAAAACTATTTTATTGACCACTGTTCACCAGTATTTACAATAAAGTAAACAATATACAGTCTGATAACATTCAAATTACTACAAAGTTAATTTTCACCTGGTCTTCTTGGGATCGTGTGACCCCAAATACTAAAAAGAATGAGTCTACAGGTGTAAAGGGCTAGGTTTGGGTAAAGAAGATACATGCACATCAACTGTATAGAAGACTACAAAACATCTGTGAGCTTGTTTAGACATTCATTAAGATTCAATAATAACCATGGAAGTTTATGAATGTTTTATAAAAGCTTTTACCTAATATGGAGGAAGTAGTAGTATCAAATGCTCTCCTGTGATAAATGAAATGAGTTGCAGAAAGCTTTTATTTACTTGCTGTTGATGCAAAACACACTACTTCAAAAAAATATCAAATTTGAATTTTTTAGAATGTATGCTTCTCACATTGCTAATAAATCAAATTTCAGGTTTTAATATTCATATATATATAAAAAAAGTGATGCCAACAATTATTGTGCTTCATCTTCTGGGCATGAATGCCAAGTTAGTCGTTCTTCATAAAAAGCGATTACGATCTGAGGACACTTCACGTTTGCTTCTTTGGCCAGCACCAGATCTGCCTCATCTGAGTCTTTCCTGATGGGAAAGGAAGGGAGATTAAAAAAAAAAAAAAAAAAAAAAAAAAAAAGCATAATTACTAATTCTCTTTATTAGCTTATATTCATAGCAGGGTTCTTCAAATTATTTTAACATCAAAATGGGTTTCAGGAAGAATATGTTTTCATATAAATGCATCACCTCTTGATATAACATTATGAAAAACGTCAGCTAGAAATCAGTTTTCAGTATACTTTTCACTTCAGCTACAAGAAATTTCTTTGCTAGCAATAAGATTTCACAGCTGATACCTTCCTTCACAAGTTTCTTTTTCTATTCCAGGGGAAAACACTGTTTAAGAGAAATTATTCCTACAGTTACCAAAAGCAGTATATAATGAAGTAAGTAAAATTACACTAATTTTACTTTAAAGCATAATTGGAACTTCAAAGTGAGACTTGTGGTATTCACATGCCAATTGCATTAGAAGTTTATGCAAGTAACTGCAATTTCTGAGCCTGTCTTGGAGTAACAAACAAAAAAATTCCAATCTAACATGCTTTAGGCTCCTTTTTCAAGAGTATGCTGATTGTACAAGTCAGCTCTATGGCTACATATTCATATCCATCTTTGTTGACTGCAATCAATTATGAAAAAACGAATCCACTACAAGCTAAAAAGAAAATGCTCCTTTCTTGTTTTCCTTTGTGTTTTATTCTGCCAGTTATCACTACAGAAATTCAAGTAGTCATAATCCACATTTTCAAACTTCTCTCAGTTCCACGTATTAAAGGGAATTTGAAGCCAGAAGGCAGACCACCTTTCCAAAGCACTGATCTTCAAGAGTCTAAGCACACTGCATGACAAACCAATTCTCTGGAGACTGCTCAGTTTGACACTACTAAAGGAACTAGAAGCCTCTCTAAAAGGTTGTTGGAAACTATAATTCTTATCCCAGCACCACAGAAAACCGAACTCCAAGCAAATGTTAATTCAACCCTTATATTCTCAATGCTGGATTAAAAAAAAAAAATCACCCTGCTTCTCTACTGCAAAGACAAGATGTCTTCTGCTAACACTGTAGCTAATAGAACTGTTTTCCTCCTGTCCTCCAAATAACACTAACTCCCCAAAGCACTTTTCCCTGTTACAGGCCCATAATGACAAACTTCTTCATATCGTTTGTTCTTCATCACAACTTCAGCTTCCTCCACTAGTTGCTTCCAACTCTCTGTCCACCTGATTGCACACAAAACAGCAGACACCAAGTTTGGTTAAGAGGTTGGCTGCCTAGCAGCTAGAATCTGCTTACGTAAAACATTTAAAAGCAGAGTTCTACCTGAAATTTCCCTAGCAAGAATGCTACTCACATGCAAAGGCCAGTTCTAAATTCCATTTCTATGATATTGAATCAAGAGAATCTAAATTCATTTTGGTTTTGGAAGAAAGGGGACTAAGTACTAAGTAATTGCACAGGTTTTGCTTCTGCAAGAACACAGGGTTAATAAGCAGACCGCCAGCTTCTTTCTGTTTGCTGAAAAGAAGTTCTCTCATGAGCTAAGTGCAAACTACCAGCCCTCCCTCACCATGGCTCAGAACAGTGGATGTAAGACTTACCATTTCATGAGGAACATAAGCTCTCCGCTGCTATCCGTAGCCCCAATTATCCTCTCAGGATCAAGACCCCTTGCAAACCCTCTTGGTTTATCAACCTATCAAGTAAGTTAAAAGATCATTATCTATCATCATCTAACTACCCTTTTATGCTGGCATTAGAGCTAGATATACACATTAATGTGTGTGTGTGAATCAGAACAACAAAATATAGCATTACATAATGATAAAAGCTATTGCTACATATAAAAGTTGTCTGAAGATGATATAAATGTTACATTTTTCTTGACTGACCTTCAGACCTTGTCATTCAGATGCAGAGTAACAATGAAGGACTTTTACATTAATGGCTCTAGCCATTCTTTCTGAAAACTCAGTAGATGAATCAAGTGGTCTCAAATCTTTATAGTAGATAAACAAGCATGGCTAATGAAACAAACTGAACAGGCAAAACAAAAAAACACACTCCTGGCAGCAGGCAAAACATGTTTTTTTCAGCAAAACAACAAACCTGGGCACTTAGGTTGGCTTAAGCCAACTGTGAAACTGCACCCATAGGGCACACCTCAACTCTTCTTGGCTCACTGAAATCACATCTGTGGTCAACAACAGGACTGCTTGCCTCTAGTTTCACAATACATTTGTGAGACAGTGACTGCTACCATATCAGGTGAAGCCATAAAATTAACTTCACTCAGAAACTAAAATGCTATTCGCAGTATTTACCAATATTGCTTCTGATGCCTTCCACCGTCACCTAGTAATTGACAGCACACATCCAGCAGCTGTCTTCAGTTAACTACTGACTGACAACCAGCTGTGATTTATATTGTTAGTTTGAAAGTTTAGAGAGAAAAATGTACTGCTGAACATACTGTGTTAAGCGCATTATTTTGCTCTTAATAGCACTAAACTTATCATATTGTTGGCTCATTTAAATTGGAGCTGAAACCCAAATATCCATGAAATAGTAGGTTTTCTTCAGTCACCCTCTCTACACCTTTCCTACCACCATGTCTAGTCCTAATTTAAGCAAGTGCTTGGTCTTCGCATTTTGCTATCTTCCCACTCACCTATTTAAAAATCATAGTTCATACAAAAGCCAGAACAGAACTTCTGCTCGTTCCATTCATGACCATTTTACTCTAACACAAACTGACCACGTTGTTCATTAGTAACTCTCAACCAGTCTTAATTTGATTATTCAGCAAGAATCACAGAACATCGGGGCTTCTGGTCATAAAAAGTAAAATCAATCACCTTTTACCCGTCATTCAGGCGGTCTCATTAATTGCTATAAAACATTACACTTTCCAAACCACAGTTCCAGTTCTGTGATTCTTAGTTTTAAGACTATGGTTGTTCTAGTTCTCCAAGTCACAACAGAATTTTTGGGGTAGAGGGTTGGAGAGGTAGAAAGAAACAGAGGAGAAACAAAGTTTAGCACATGAACATATACTTACAGAATCACGTTTTTTCTTTGATTTACTATCATCAGATTCGCTATCTGACAGTGATTTTCTTTTCGCACCATCTGTTTTTTCTTTACCAGCTTTCTGAGAGTTCAGAAAAGCTTCAATTAGCTCTGGACAATCTAAGTTTTCTTCAGGCTCCCACGTGTTGTCAGCACTGAAACATACATACATTTATGTAAAACTAGGAAAAGAAGAGAAGCGTACAACTAACTACACGGCTCACCCTAAGCAAGTCATTCCTTTCCTCAATAAATAAGGTATCTTTCTTAAACTCAGGATGCTTCTCTAACCATCTGCCATAGCCTTTGTGCACTACATTTGATGACTGACTCTATGCTATGCTGAAGAATACTGCTGAATTGTTCTTACATTTGAGATACAGAGTAAGCAGCTCTATTAACTCCTAAGATGCTGGTGGAAGTGACAACATGCAACCTTCATCCTACCTGTACATTTAAACTTAATTCCTGGTTCCCCGAAAGGCTGACCATGCAAACAAGCTGTTTGGTAAGAGCATAAACTAAGACTTCAGGAGAACAGAACATACACAATCCCCACTAGTAATGACATAAACGTATGTACCTAAGCTTCTATGTACCAGAAATGCTCTCAAAAGTATCATCTGAGCACTGAACTCTTTCTCACTCCTCCAGCTGTAGAGCTTTTGGAGCTGGTCCAGAGGAGGCCCATGAAAATTATCAAAGGGGTGCAACACCTCCCCTATGAAGACAGATTGAGGGAGCTGAGCTTGTTCAGCCTGGAGGAGAGAAGGCTCAGGGAAGACCTGATAGCAGCCTTCCAATACTTAAAGGGAACTTAGAAACAGGAGGGAAATCAACTTTTTACAGGGGTAGAAAGTGATAGGAGAAGGGGGAACACTTTCAATCTAAGAGGGGAGATTTAGATTACATGTCAGGGGAAACTTTTCACTGAGAGACAGGTGATACACTGGCACAGTTGCCCAGCTGTGGATGCTCCATCCCTGGAGGCATTCAAGGCCAGGCTGGATGGGACCCTGGGCAACCTGAGCTCATGGGTAGCAGCCTGCCCACGGCAGGGGACTGAAACTGAGTGGGCCCTGAAGTCCCTTCCAACCCAAACCATGCTAATAGGCTGTAATTATAGAAAAAACAAAGGCTCCATGTCCGGAGCTGGGTACTGCAATTGTTCCAGAGAGTATGTATTTTGTTAAATAACATTTTACGCTGTCCATGAATGTGCCCTCCAACAATTAAGCACCTCATCAGAAGTCCTCAGGCACTAATATATTGCCACAGCACTACTTGCACAAACAGGATGCCTACCCATTATTTTCAATTACCAAAACTTTAAGGTCCTAGAATGCAGAAGGTTGCTTTGGGAGATATGTATACGTAACTACTAATGATAAAATGCTAGACTTCAACATTTAATGCATCCCCTTTTCTCGGCTGATGGAAGCACTGTTGTGCTTTCAAAAGACCCAGGATAGAGACTGAAAAATACCTTTTCAGTATGTCTCATGAAAGCAATCATGCTGCAGAATTCCTTTTGTAAATTTACCTATTTCAAGAGCAACTCAAAAAAGCAAACACCTCCCCCCTCCCCCCAAAAAACCAAAACAAATTCACAGCTTCAAAGCTGCCTGTTTAAAGCCCTGCAAACTTTATTTCTCAGAAATAACATTCAATCTCCTGCATATGAAAGTATACCTATTTTATGACAACTGTCAGCCTAGCATACCTTGATTGATATTGACACAAGCTAGATCAAAGAGCAGTGGCAAAAGAACAATCACTGAGGGCTTTGTATAAGATTTTGGAACGTGACCAAGCACAAACCCTAAGCTACCAGTCTTCTATTTTACTGTCATACTTGACTGCTCCACCTGAATAGACATTTATGCTGTCCTTCCCTTTCAGCTCTTTAAAGCGTATCCCCACCATCCAATCCCCCATCCACACAGTTATTTCAAATAAATGGTTAATATTTAGCATTGTACCAGAAAAAATAATGGTAATGCCTTACTCTGTAAATCCTTTCCACTTCAAGTAGTATTCCACCTTTCCATTCACAACACGTCTGTCCAGGACTTTCTCCACAACAAATTCTTCAGGCTCTGCCTCTTCAACTTTTTTACCTTTGCCATTTTGTTTCTTTCCCATTTTGTGCTACAAAAGAAATTCAGAATGCCATTATTCATTCTTTTGCTTTACATCGTTACTTCATTGGCCAAATCCAACTTTGCTCAGTAAACAGCAAGGAATCATGTACTTATTCACACTAGAGCCAGAAGCTCAGACTTGTTTCACGTTAGTGCATGAGGTCAGGTAACCTGAGCAAGACATGGTAATATTTTGGGTTTTTTTTTTTTTTTTTTTTTTTTCCAGCCACTTAATAAGATACCCAACATAGAACACCAGTTTTTATAAAGGTGAAATATCTTTGTCCGTACACTCAGTGCCTCCACTCCCCTTATAAATTTAATTCTCAGAGTGCTACATGCTCAAAATTATATCAAGCTTCTATAAGTTAACTCCGTGCCTGTGAAAAGGCGGAGGGCAAGAAACAGCATGAGGCAGAAGTAAAGAAAAGTAATAAGGGAAAATGCATCAAACAGAAAAGGCTGCTACTTAAAAAAAAAAAAAAAAAAAAAAAGTTACTAGCGTTTCCAAAACAAAAAAAAGAAAAAGCAAAAGCTGAAGGGAGCAAAATGTACAATGTAGTGCTACCATAACCAAAATATTCAATAATAATCGATAATTATTGAACAGGATGCATGCCAGAGCAGCAAACTACTGCAGTCCCTTCCCACTATCAGCCACGCACCGATGTAACTAACATTCGAAGGGATGTCAGAAAGGTGCAAACGTTAAGACAGCTACACTTAAGGTACACTTAACATGTAATTAAAATTTTGCTAATTTAAAGAACTCAAGTGTTTCAAGTTTACATTTGACATACTTTAAATAATATTCTTCAAGTTCTTAAAATAAATATTACATCCACATCATCCTCAAGGCATTCCCAGTTTAATAAGGCACAATTCAATATTGGTAGAAGGACACGTTTCAGAATTTCCTTGTTTGCAATCTGGAAAAGGTCAGGACGTGTCTATAATCTTGTTGTATCCCATTTGTGGAGCACCAACAGACCAAAAGCAGTCTGATGGCCATTTTGGATTGCTCCTTATTGGAAAATTGTTAAAATGGCAGCCACAAATTAACGGGAACAGTATTAATCTCTGAGAGCACACAGTCATGCAGCACCTTAAAGCAGACAAAGCTACTTCCTCACTAATGCTCTCACTTGACAGACAGAGGCAAGCAGAAGTCATGGAGCACCTGCCTTTACTTTGTGGCACTTTTCTAGTCCTCTCTAGAATGAACGCGGGTTAGTTTGAGCACACTGCGAAGCAATTTTGAAACTGATTTTTAGATTTTGCAGAATTTTTCCTTGATGTGGTAAAAGGAAGGAAAAAAAGTGTCTGTCAGACGCAAAGAAAACTCTTCTTTTTGCAAAATGAAGAAGCTGACCTGCCTTTCCAAGCCTACTCTTTGCGTTCTTCCTTTTTTTTTTTTGCATTAACTTCTCTTCCCCCAAACACCTTTACTCTCCTTAGCAACCCACGAATTGAAGGTGCGAACAGCAAAGATGAGGAAAAGGTTCAAATTCCCCCTTCAAACAGCAAGTTTCCATATATGATTATATGTTGTGTGACACTTGTTTTGACTTGGGAATAGAAAAGAGATTATTTAAAACAGAGCATGTATTTCCACTTTGATAATAACTACCTGCACATCCCAGGTGCACTTTGAACCCAGTACTCATGTCTGAGAAGTACCAACCACACTGGCTTTTTTTTTTTGCCTCCACAGGAAAGAAAAATAAAAGAATGCAGGACTGAAGGTAAATGAACATAAACATATGAAAACATCCACCTTGTCTGTGAAGGCTGCTTACTGCAATAAATGAAAGTATTAAAAAGAGAAATGAGATGAGGAAAACGAGGGGAAAAAAAGAAATGAGGAGAAAAAAGACAGACTCACTGTACCACACTAACAACATCCTAATTACTGGTGTTGAGGCAAGTGGGCTACATGTGGAACACTTCCATCTGTGCTCTCCACTGGACTAAAACCCTCCAGTTCAAAGGAAGGCTGCCTTCTGATAATTGTTCTCAGCTTCTTTCATTCTCATCACCTAAATGTTTTGGACCTCTGCATCAAAGTAACTTTTCTTTAAAAGAAATGCAAACTCTTTAGGACTTTAGATGGCTACATAATCTTCCACAGAAGAAAATGAATATTACAGGATCTGATCCTTTATCTCAAAGGTCAGTAAGTGATAACAAGTCAAGGGTGCGTTGCTTTTTGCTCTGAATATTAGAGGTTTCACTACATCTTCTGAATAATGCTACTTCCCAAACACTTCCTAAGCCTTTTTAACCTACTAAAATAATATTTGACAGCAGAGCCTGAAGAAATACTGAAGAATGGTAACTCCTGAGATTATACAAACCAATGTAAATCTCAGCCTGGAGGTGAATGTAGCAGCTGACCCAGAACGAAGGGCAGAAACATCCACCAGATCCCTGAAGCTCCCTTCTTTAAGGTTACCAGTTCTAAACCTTAACATGGGCATCTAAGCACTGGATGCTCATTTGTGGCTTCCTTCCTTCTGCATTCAGAAGTCACATCCAACAGACAGAGATGGTTTTCAATGGGTAATGACTCTTTCTTGAGGGGCAACAGAGACGTGATGTTGCAATGGAGTGTTTCACGATACAAGAGATAACAAATTCAGAATTACAGTTCCAGAGCTACACTACCCCCAGTATATCTAAGTTTTGCATTCAAATATGCAATGAAGCAGAATTAGTTACGGTTCCCATGGGAACCATAACTGATTTTCCTGACCTGTGCAGCAAAATTCTGAACATCATATCAAAAATACTGCAGTTGCAGGCACTTTCCCCTCCCTGAGGCACTCCCTCCCTGGGCTGGTCACTGCTCCTCTTCCTCAAATTAGGGAAAAGTGGACAACCAATTACTAACAGAAAGTTCAGACATTCATCTTGATGAAATCTTTAGAACGGTTTGCCATCATATAATGTCAAACAAGCACTACACTTCGAAGCCAGGAGTTAATAAGAGTTTTTAATGTACCTCAATCTGGGTCAATTAGCAACCACTTTAGTAATTTAAGAACGGGCCTTTTGAGTGCATAACAAGTCCGTCGTTCTGCTATCCAAATGTCCAATTGTATCTATGCATCCTGCTTCAACCTCAGATGGATCTCATGCTATATTTCTTCAGTTCTTCCACACACACACATATATGTGTATATATATATTTATATATAAAGTAAGTAGTTGAATGGCAATTAAAATAATTTTTCCCAACCAACTGCCTTTAGAAGTTCATATTTTAACGTCAAGCAAAGCTTTACAGGGACTTGAGAACCATGAATGCATCATTAAAATAGATCAGGAGGGGTTGACATCTGATAATCTCTGCTCCTATGAAATTCAAAGAAACCGTTATTTGGTTAAAAAAAAGTAATAATAATTTCAAAGGGCATCTTAACTACACCACATCATTTCCCAGTAACGTTATTTTTCTTCTGTAAGGACCGCCTTCGCTCAATTTGTTCTTTTATTTTTTTCTGAATAGACTAGGAGAAATTAAACGAATACACGATTTTACTTATTTTTACATAAACGATGAATTACATGGTATCCTGAAAGGAGGCTAAAAAAATCCTCAGTGCTTTCTACAACAGGGCAGACGAAATAATGCACAGTCCTTTTTTTTTTTTTTTTTTTTTTTTTATTCCCCAACAAGTCTCTGTAGGAATGGCAGATTTGTTAAAGCCAAAGAGAATGTCCTTTCTAGTAGCCTTACTTTCTGGACCTGAAATTTTGGTCAGAAAAATGCTGGGGAGGGGAGATGTGGATGTATCTTTTAAATGGAGATGCCAAGTTATAAGTTTGAAGAAAAATATGTTGATTAAATCCTTACATACTTTAGGTGTGCGTGAACTTACCAATGTAGTTTTATTGGAGGCCATTTTTATTGCAGACTTGCAGAGCTTTTACTAGAAAAATGCATGACAATTAAAAGGAAGTTTACGTTACTCAAAGAAAGGCATCCCAATACAACATGGTCCTTGTTCCAACCCCCATGTATTCACGGCATAGAACATTTACAGAATGGATTAAATCCAGGACAAGAAGCAGCTTACTGCTTTGTCCGGCATAACCCAGTAACACACCTTTACCTAGCCAAGATAAATAGTGACAAAGTGGCAGATGAGGTTGAAAAAAGGTTTTCCCAAGGCCATCTAAGGCATGGAGACAATTGTAGGGAAAAGGGGGAGGACCATCAGGGATGCTTATTTCCCAACAGAAACAGGAGCTCAGATTCCAGCAGTTAACTATCACACAGCTTTAGACGTATTAACTGTGGATCTGGCGGGGAGCAGCTACACATCTGCAGTGTAACAGAGCACCCACCGCTTTCAAAACTGCGAATATTTATTTTAATGCATAACGCTGCCCTCCGATTCTCAAGTTTGCACGAATTAAGGCCCTGCACCGACGTGAGCTCGGCTAAGCTGCACACGCTACGTTTATCCTAGGCAAGCGAGTCCAACACCATCCATCCCCTTCACCACCGCACCTCTCACACCGACCACCTCTGTAAGCACGTATCGTCCCCGCCCCGTTCCAACTACAAAACTTCGGATCGCACACAGGCCCGGGCACGGCTCGCACACGGCCTTGCAAGGCCCAACGGCTCGGCCCGCCGCCCAGCGCCCCGCTAGGGGAGGCCCGGCAGCCCCACGCCAGGCGGCGGAAAGGGCCGGGCGGGAGATCCTCGCGTCCCCGTCGGAAAGGAAGGAGAAAGGGGAAAGAAACCACAAGAACGCTGCCGAGATACCCCCGCCCCGAGGAAAGGAGCCCCACGGGCCGCCGGGAGGGAAGAGGAGGAGGAGGAAGGGGGGGCAGCGCCTCGCCATGCCCGCGCCCCCCCGCCCCGCCACGTTTCCCCGCCGCGGAGGCCGCCCCAGGCGCTGGCGGGCGGCTTTGTCTGCCCGGCCCGGCCCCGCCGCCCGCCCTCCCTCTTCCCTTCCCTCCCGCCGTGCCCGCTCCTCCCGCCGCGCCCGCTCCTCCCGCCGCCGCCGCGCTAAGGGCTGTGGGGGGTCGGGCGCACCCCGCGCTCCATCCCCACGTCGGCGGGGAGCAAACAGGGGAGCGGGGAGCGCCGCCGAAGCGAGGAAATAAGAGGAGAAAGAAGGATACAGACTTCACTGCCGCTCGGCCGCGCCGCTCCCCCGTCTCCTCCCGGCTCTCGCCCTGCGCGCTCTGAGCGGCGGCGGCATCCGAGGGGCCGGGGGGGGAGGGGAGGGGGCGGGGAGCGGCGCGGGGCGGGCCGGGCCGGGCGGGCGGCGCGGGGCGGGTTGGGCCGAGCCGAGCGCGCCGGCGGCTGACGGGGCAGAGCGCACGACGCCGCCTACGCGCCAGCCGCAACCTCCTCCCGTTGTCGCCGCCAGCACAGGAGGGGGCCAAGACGTCTGTCCCACGGGGGGCGAGCGCAGGACCGCGCCAGGCGTCCAAACGGAGGAAGATGCCTCGCGGCGACAGAGAGAGCGACTGGGTGAGGGCGGCCGGTGGGCCGCGGCGGCCGCCGCCATCATGGCCGCCACCGCGAGGGCGGGAGAGGGCCCGGCCGGGGGGCCGCGGCGGGCGGGAAAGGCCTTTATTGGCGGCGGCCGGAGATCCGTGCGGGGATGAGGGGAGAGAAAGAACGGGAGGCCCGGCGCAGTGTCGCTGCTGCGGAGCGGCAGCACTCACCCTTTCTCGCCGCGCGTGAGAGGAAAGGGGAGGGCGCGAGGGAGGTGAGCGCTGCGTGGCTGCCGGCGGAACGCGGCGGAACACGGCTGGCCGCAGCCGGGCCCGCCTTTCTCCACCGAGTCGAACTCCAGGGTTATCGCTTCCCGCTTCCCGCCTCCCGCCCGGGCGGAGGGGGAGGGGGCCGCTGCGTTGTGCCGTGCTCCCGCCCGCGGAGGGTGGTGGGGGTGCGGGGCCGCTGCGGCTAATTATAACCCCGCACTACGAGGTGCAGTCTTCGGCAATTTCCGGAGGGGGGGGGGGAGAGAGAAGCAACGTTGTGCCAGCGACGCTCGGGCGACTTCGGATCCACTCGGGCACGTATTAGAGAGGTCTTCCGCTGTCGGAAATTGCCGAGTGGGTTGGGGAGTTGGTGAGCGCTGCGTCTTTTTTTTCCGGAAATTGCCGAGCTTGAGCCGAGTGCCGGTTTCGTCAGTTCGGCTGATTCCGGAAAACGCCGAAACGAGCCGAACGGGTTGCCATTTCTGTTTCGGCTGTTTCCGGCGACTGCCGAAGCGGATAAGCTCGGCAAGAACGACTCCTTCGGCTCATTTCGGAGACGGCCATTAGTAACGGCGTCGATGACTTTTTATTAGGTGACAAAAACACGGAGGGGCATCGCACAGAACTGCTGCCTCTCAGGACTGATTTAGGCTCTAGATCCGAGCTATTTTTTAATTAAACTCCGGAGGCGCGGCCGGGTGGAGGAGGAGGGCGCTCGTAGTGCGCGGAGCCGAATTTCAAATTACGTAACAGCTGCGGCAGCCATTGCTGAGGGCCGTGCGCCGCGCCGGGCAGGGACCGCCACCATGAAGAACATGGTACGTGGGGGAGGGGAGGCTGCCAGGAGCTCCATTTTAAGGGGGTTCCGCGCACGGAGAGCGTTCTTGCGGGTCTGAGGGTTATGCGAGGAGCGCGGCCGAGCTTAGCCAGCGCGGGCACGGGAGGTGCCGAGGCTGTTGGGCCGCTCTGCACGGGGGAGAGCGGCGACGGGGGAGGAAGGTTCTGGAAGCCGCGGTTGGGGCCGAGTGGCTGCTGGGGGGAGGCGGATGTTGCGGTTCAGGCGAGGGCGGGTTAGGTCTTTCGAGGTGACTGTTGGAGTGGGTGCTCTCGGGGCGCCGCGATGGAGGTCGGCGGGAGCCCGGCCCGGGACGCGCCGTCGCCCTGTAGGCAGCAGCGGCGCCGCTGCCGGTAATGGCGGCGGAAGGGGGAGGGGGAAAATGGCGGCGCCGAGAGCGGCGGGGGAGGGGAGGCGGGAGGCCGTGCCTGCAAACTGACACCCCGCGTCCGGCTGCGTGGCGGTGCTGGGCAGGTGGCTTCTGCGCAGCCCGACGGCTCGCGTGGCGGCGGTCGACCGGGATCGGTTTGCTGGCAGTCGTCCTCCGCGCCGCGCTCCCTCGAGGCGGCGGCTCCGGGCGCCATTTTGCTCCCTGGCTGCGGCGCTGCTCTGCTGATCGCCGCCACATGGCGGAGCCGCCGCCGCCTGCCCACTCGCTCCCTCGGCGTCGGGCGGCGGGGCGGCGAGGCGCTGCGGCGGGCTGAAGAAAGCGGCAGCGGGCTGGGGATCCCGCCCGGCTCCTGACTGAAGATGCTGGAGGGCTGCTGAGATTCACACGTGGTCTGTCCCTATCTTAGAAAGTGTTTCGGAGTCATCCTAGGAGGTTTATCTTTTGGCTTGTGTATTGAGAGTGGGGGGAAGAGGCAGCGGGTCGTGTTTAGTGAAGGGTTTTTGTCAAATATCGGAAAAGGACCGTAGTTAAAATAGTTAATAATCGTGCACGTTACTGCTGCAGAGTGAACGTGCAGTTACCAGAGGCAGCTGGGCCCTGGCCGGGGCTGTGGTCAAGAGACTCACTACTAAGTAAAGGCAGTGCCTACGTGTGGAGTAGCAGTTCGGATATGTTCATACATCTTTCATTCTTGTAGTGGCAGTGACATTGCCATGTCCTGGCTGTGTATGTGTCTACCTGTTGCTTTGGCTAGGGCGCATACTGGTGTGGCAGTACGTGATCGATGAGTGTATGGTGATGTATGAACTTGCAGCTGTTCTCTTTATCAGTAATGTGTGGTGCATGTTTGCTCTCTGAAAAGCAAATGCGGTTGTTACGGTTGGTAGGTAGACTTCTTTAAGCTTCATTTTCAAATATGAGCTGAATGCTTAATGGAAAAATCAATACGCCATTAAAATTTTACAAATTCCCAACTTATTATCCTAGTTCTGCTATTTGACATATGTACATATGCCAATTGATTATGTAGGGGAAAGTGTCTCTCATGGGCCTATGGAACCAGTAGGTACTGGTTAGTCTCAAAGCAATTGAACTGAAGCAGTTGGAAGAGAAGGGCATTTGTGCATTTTTAGCAGTCATTGGCTAACATTTCTCTGCTAGGCTACTCAGGCAAGAAATGGTAACACGGCTTTCAACATGTAGCTATAATTCAAGTCTTGAATGCAGCATCCTTTCCCTTACTCTGTTCAAAAGATTATATGAGGGGAAGCTTCGCATAATGTGTGTTTGTTGTGTCAAAACTATCCTGCCTAACTTTTCCCACCTGTACGCCAGAGGGACAGCATTAGCTTTCTTTATACTTCTTAGAAGAAAAAACACTTTGAATCTGCTTTAGGTGTAATGATTTTAAGTGACATTGAAGTAACTGTTCTCAAACAGGGTACTTATTCAGAGGTGGAAAAGGAATACTCGATAGTTGTTGCATTTCTTCTTAGCTGATAATACAGCAGTGCATTTTTAACAAAACTGATTCAGTATCATCTCCGGTAATGTCTTCCGTGTAGCATAGTTCTAGATCATACCTGCTTCCAGCAGCTTCAGAAAACGTGTGGATTGGCTGAATGCTCGTTATTAAAAAAAAGAAAATTCCTTTTTAAAAGGACGAGTACAATGCTGACATAATGCTGAGTTCTCTTGGGAGAAAGCTTAGCAGGACATTTACCTCCTTCAGACAAGATCCTGAAATTCTGCATTTTGTTAAAGGGTCTTTTTTTTTTTAATTAGCTGTTTGGTATATGGGATAACAATATGTATCATGCAGCGATGCTCCTGCTTATGGAGAAGAACATTTACAATACATTCGTAGTGTATTAAGTACTTGGGAGGTTGAAAGGTTGTTAGTTTCTGCATTGTAATCATCATGTATAAAAAATGTGTAATATCTCCTTATTGGCCTTGAGCTTTTTTTTAACGACTTACTTGTTTGTCATAGCAGAAATTTGTGCTGAATGAGCTCAATGAAAATTTCTTTGAGAAGTGATTTAAGTCTTTCTGAAAATGTAGTTCATACACTGAAAGGGAAATGTGAGGAATTTTTTCTGCTTTTTTTTGATGTTGCTGACGTAAATTGGGGGTGCATTTACTACTAATTCCAGATAAATTTTACAGATATCCTAGCGTGCTTCATTTGACTAATGATGAAATCTGAGTCAGTGACCTAGAACATTTTGACTGTATTTTTTTAATTGCTTAATGGTTTGTGTAAATAGCTTAATAGTGTTGATGTATGGTAATTTGAATTATATATTTTTAAAATAAATGATATCTGGAATAGAATCAGACAGTATGAGTGGAATCATGTTTTCCTGTAGCAAGGGCTCTTTGTTAGTTTGGGGCATTGTTTTGTTTTTTTTCCTAATGCAGTTGTAAAAAGTTTTATATTAATCTAATCTTTTCTGTGGTAGAGGGAAAAGGAGCAGTTCCGCAAGCTGTTCATTGGTGGCTTAAGCTTTGAAACAACAGAGGAAAGCTTGAGGAATTACTACGAGCAATGGGGAAAGCTTACAGATTGCGTGGTAAGTTTGGCATGCTAATGCACAGTGATGGTGCAGAATGTGTAAAAATTATAGTAGGGGGAGCTGTTTGTTTAATAGCTTAATATAAGAGAGAAAGTGTAACGTTAAATTTTGAGTTCCTGCAGTTGGTTCAGACTTATCAGTCCTTCAAAGCTATACGCAGATTTCCTTCTGCACACTGCTGATAAAATGCAGTTTGTTTCCTGTAAAATCTCTCAAATTGTCTCTAACTGCTGATTACAGCTGTTCAAAATTAACTGGGGTATCATTGCTTGAAACGCATTAGGGAGTGCGAAGTGCACTACTGCATCAGCATCTGTGTAACCAGTAACCTTTGGAAGAAAGCTGCTACTTTGGTAAGCAGTCCTGTTGAAGCTAGAGATGAGTGGCTTTCTTTAGTCTGCGATTTCTGTATACTTGTTACCGCTACTGTAGTTGTATTGAAGTTGTTCCACCGGTCTTGTTTTCAGAACAGTAAATATGTATTTTATAATCCACGTTTAAAGAGCGTAGTCTTCAGAGAGGTAAAAACAAATGTTTGATTTTTAGAGAAAGATACACGTATATAAATGTGAATCGTTGCTGCTGAGTACGTCTGAGTTACTGGTAGGGTATTAGAGGACAGTGAATTCCTCTGGTGCTGTGTGGATTCTGCTCATGTATTTGGTCCGTATAGCTTGCTGCTTCATATTAACTGTATTTGAATTAGGTTCTTGTTTTCTCCAAATGTTGTTGCTGGTCAGTTTAACATGAGACATGTAGAAGTGATTTAAATTTGTTCATTGTTTTTAGGTAATGCGGGATCCTGCAAGCAAAAGATCAAGGGGGTTTGGCTTTGTAACATTCTCCTCAATGGCCGAAGTTGATGCAGCCATGGCTGCAAGACCTCACACAATTGATGGAAGGGTGGTGGAGCCTAAGAGAGCTGTGGCTAGAGAGGTAAACGTGGGATTGAAAGCAGATCCTTTTCATGCTTTGAGAGACTACTCTGCATTTTGGTTATGAATTCTTACTTCAAACTGTCTCTGTTTGAATTTTTGAAAGGGTCTGGTTGGGACACTGTTTCCACATTTTTAGTCTGTTCATTGACTGTTACTACTATAGTAACTATGTATTATTCTGGTTGCAAGTCATGTCTGCAAGGGATGCTAACTGGGATCTGAAAGTATTCTTAGCTGAAATGTGTTGGATGTCTGTAATGATGCAAGTTCTAGACCATCTCTTCTCTGGGATCATGACTGTTATTAGACCTCAAATTAGGAAACTTGTTAATCTTCTGAGTATTTCTGTAAGCTCTATGACAGAAGTGATAAAAAACAGAGAACACGGTATTGGGATCTGTGCTTTCCTTCCAGTGGTGGTGATCAAAATCAGCCTAAGACTATTCATATTTTTGCTCCTTGCACATTTGATTTTAAAATCCAGGCTATAAATTAGATGGGCACACTGTAAAGCAGTATACCTGGGTTACTGTAGCATTGAGATATTTGAGCAAATGCACATTCTTGTTAACTCGTGTTCTCTGCATTGTTGGAGCTCTCGGAGGATTTAGCCACTTCAAGCACAAGGTTTGACCCAAATTATTAATGTTTTTGGACTGATGAACTGCAACTGAATGAGGTGTCTTGTGGTAATTTCCATTTTCCCTGAACTAGAATCGGTACCCTTGTTAGCAATCTCAGTTCTCATTCAGCTTCCAGAAGAATGCAGGGTTGATTAGCACTTGGAAAAACGTAACTAAAACAACGTAGGACATGTGCATATTTTTTATACACACAAAGGCTATTACTGGGCTTTAGAGATAAATTCTTCCTACTTACTGCAGCTGGTTAAATATTGTGCTCAGAACTCTTTTTTTTTTTTTTTAAAGGTATGTGGAGAGTTATGTTTGTTTTAGTGCAGAGCTGTGGATGTGCTGTAGTTGAAGGAGCTTTGCAATTAAGAGGAATGCAGGCTTCGTTGCCATTGGAGAGGTGGACAGAGGAAGTTGATGCATTTTTATTTTAAGTCAACTAAAGTTTTTTTGTTGTTGTTATTAAGAAATTGTTCAAACAGGTGGTCTGACAGTTCCCTCTAAATTTATGTAAAGGATTTACATTTATTTCTGTACATTTCTGTACAACCTCTTCACCCTCCACCACCATTTTTCAGTGCATTTAGAACTTTCATGTGGGTTTGGGGATGATAACTGTTACCTTCTACCCCACAAAGGTTTTATGGACATAGACAGGAAGTCTACCTCAGTGTCCAAAAACCTGAGTCTTGCATTCCCATCATCCTGGAAAAAAAAAGATTTGCTAGATTGGTTTTGTCGTAAATCGGAGAATTCTTTTAATAGGAATCTGGCAAACCTGGTGCTCATGTTACTGTGAAGAAACTGTTTGTTGGTGGCATTAAAGAGGACACCGAGGAGCACCACCTTCGTGACTACTTTGAGGAATATGGAAAAATTGACACTATTGAAATCATTACTGACAGACAGTCTGGTAAAAAGAGAGGGTTTGGATTTGTTACATTTGATGACCATGATCCTGTGGATAAAATTGTATGTAAGTAATCTTCATCTCGCTGCTTTATTTGATAACGTTGATGCTTACAGTCATGGTACTTGTGTGAAGCTAAATTTAAAATAAACAGATAATAGCAATGCTTAAATGAATGTAATATGATAGTTTTGGTGAACTGTGGGGGCAGGTATTTTAAAAAATAATCCAGTACCTAATGAAATCTATTTTAGTATTTATAATTTTTAAAATAACAGTAGGGAGTGTGTATGGATCAATTTGGGAATGACTGCATTTTTGGTAGCTTGAGATTCTTCTTGTTGCCAGATCAGTACTTAAATGCTTACAACGTTTTGTTTCATGTGATTACAGTGCAGAAATATCACACCATTAATGGCCACAATGCAGAAGTAAGGAAAGCCCTCTCTAGACAGGAAATGCAGGAAGTTCAAAATTCTAGGAGTGGGAGAGGAGGTATGTTCAGTTAATGCTTTACAGTCTGTTCTTGTGCGCTTCTCGTGATTTTGCTGCTTACAAATGTTAATTGTTATAGGGAACTTCGGTTTTGGTGATGCACGTGGAGGTGGTGGCAACTTTGGTCCAGGACCTGGCAGCAATTTCCGAGGGGGAGCTGGTAAGAGAGGCATGTTTGTAGCATTTCTTGTTTGCTTGTTTACATCATCCTTCAGGTTCTGGGTAATGGTACTACTGTTCAATTGAAACGCATCTCTAAGTGTTACAGAATTTTTGGGAAGGACAAGTTGCAAACCTCTTGCATAGTACAGAAATAGATGAGGTAGTTTTTTATAAGCTCAAGTGGCTTAATTGTTAAGTGATTCTGTTACAAGCTGAAATTAACTTAAACTTGGTAATTTTGGTAAGAAATTCACCTATTGCTTCTCTGTAATTATACGCAGTGCTCAGGAGCTTCACAGTGAGGGGTTTCTTTACTGAACATTTAAATTACATAAAAGCCAACCAGGTTAGCTGTGTTCAAAACTAACCCAGTACTTTACAAATGCAAGAAAGTAGGTGGTGTAGAGGAATGGGAGATAACTGTTCCACATACGTTTTAGCCAAATTCAAGTGTGTGTGCTTAAGTAGTCTGTGAGATTTGAGTCTTAACGTAATATGGTTTAGATAAAAATTGGTTGGCTACAGGTAAATTGAAATATATATGTCTTGGGTTTTCTTTTCCTCCAACAGATGGATACGGGAGTGGCCGTGGGTTTGGTGATGGGTATAATGGATATGGTGGAGGGCCTGGAGGTAAGTTTGCTTCTGTTTGTATTTTTGTTTTCTTCTCTCACTTAGAACTGTTTATACATTCATTGATTCATGTAAAACTTTCAAAGTGCCATAGATATTTTGTTGGCTTTAAGAAACACACACAACTGTTGGCTCACACTATACTTGACGTGGGAAATTGTATGGTTATGTCATGAACAACCATACCCTTCTCTTTAGGATGATAGCAAGTCACTTCATTGATGCTTTTAGTCAGTCTGGCTAGTGGGTTTTAATGACCGTTTAGTTAGGGTGGGAGTTGGGTGTATATCTTCCCAAAACTCCTACCCTTTTCCTTCCCTGTAGACTTCTCAACAGAAAAACATCCTGTGTAGAATTTGATTACCTTCTCCACTGAAAAGCTTATTTTAAAGGATTATATTGTCATAGGTGGCAACTTTGGTGGCAGTCCTGGTTATGGAGGAGGAAGAGGAGGATATGGTGGAGGAGGACCTGGATATGGCAACCAGGGTGGGGGCTATGGAGGTGGCTATGACAACTATGGAGGAGGTAACCTACTTACTGGCTTGAAGTGACCAAGTTTCAGTTGTAAATTAGCGCAAATTGTATGAAATCTGGGAGGTGTGTGGTGGAGTAGGCAAGCTTAATTTTACAAATGGAATGAAAAAGCAGCCAATATCACGTGCTACTGGACTATTTGCATGATTTTGTCTTTCAATTGTGTACCGATGAGAATTCTGTGAACGTTGTAGCTCATCCAGACATGTCTATTCTTGTATTGATAATTTAGGCAATTATGGAAGTGGAAACTACAATGACTTTGGAAACTACAACCAGCAGCCTTCCAATTATGGTCCAATGAAGAGTGGAAATTTTGGTGGCAGCAGGAACATGGGGGGACCATATGGTGGAGGTATGTTTTGATATGCTTTGGAGCCAGATTGGGCAAGCTTCAGTCCTTTGGGGTGGTGGGAGGATGATAGGTAAAAATTGCCAGCTTCTACAACAGATGCACAATACCGATGTTTGTTCTATGTAGTGTGAGTTGGCTGCAGTTTTTTGTCGATCTCAAGACTATAAAGTTTGGGGAAAACAGTACCCCTGCCTCTTTTCCTCTAGAATATTAGAAAAAACGTCATGCAGATTCCAATCAGTAAGGACTTGCAGCACAACTTGTAACATCCACTAAACATACTGCAGTTTTTCACCAGACTTACTGGGATTTTCTATTGCTTTCTTGTTCTAACGTCACCTTTTCCTCTCATTTCCTGCTTGTAGTTGTCTAGATGTTATTTACTGTGCTGTATAAAACTCGTGGAATGGAAACTGAAACAAGAACCCCTTTCTTGTAAGGTTCAGTTTGCAAGTAAACTCCACCCTCACAGCGAGGCTCAAAACTATGCAGTACATCAGATTACATGTGGCCCTGTTGAGCCTTCTAGGATTTCAGTGTGTAGTTGTTGTGGCACTTTCTGGGCATTAGTAGGACAACATAGTGAAGTGCTGAAAGCTGTGGATATGCCATCTCTGGAAGTAAACTGGATGTTAATTTTGATAGACTATTCAGAAGTATTCTTAGATGGAAGTGCACTGACTTAACTGTTGTTTCTCTCTTTTCTGTGATTGTAGGAAACTATGGTCCTGGTGGCAGTGGAGGAAGTGGTGGATATGGAGGGAGAAGCCGTTACTGAGCTTCTGCAAGCTTGCCATGGGTAAGTATGTTTTTAAGTGTTAAAATTGCAGTGATTCGTGAGAGTAGCTGCAGGAGCTAAAAGTTTTTTTAGGATATTGTCTTTCCTATAAAAAATGGTTAGCTGAATAATTTCATAACCTATTTTTTTACTCTTTACTTCTGTTGAAACAGGCTTCACTGTATAAATAGGAGAGGATGAGAGCCCAGAGGTAACAGAACAGCTTCAGGTTATGGAAATAACAATGTTAAGGAAACACTTATCTCAGTCATGCATAAATATGCAGTGGTATGGCAGAAGACACCAGAGCAGATGCAGAGAGCCATTTTGTGAATGGATTTGGATTATTTAATAACATTACCTTACTGTGGAGGAAGGATTGTAAAAATGCCTTTGAGACAGTTTCTTAGCTTTTTAATTGTTGTTTCTTTTTAGTGGTCTTTGTAAGTGTAGAAGCATTCCTTTGATAATGTTAAATTTGTAAGTTTCAGGTGACATGTGAAACCTTTTTTAAGATTTTTCTCAAAGTTTTGAAAAGCTATTAGCCAGGATCATGGTGTAATAAGACATAACGTTTTCCTTTTAAAAATTTAAGTGCGTGTGTAGAGTTAAGAAGCTGTTGTACATTTATGATTTAATAAAATAATTCTAAAGGAAATATTGTGTAATTTTAGATTTTTTTTTTAACGTTGTAAAATAAGGAAAGGAGTGGGTAGTATAAGGTCCCACAAATAATACAAAGCTATTGTTGTACGTGTAAAATTAAATGCTGGTCAGAAAAAAAAAGTATGTTGTCTTTAAATGATCAGGTTTAAAATATCTAGATAACTTAAGGGATATCTCTGCAAGGAGAAACACCTTTTTAGATCTTTTAGATGCTGCTTCTTCAATGGCAAGGAAAGGAAATATCCCCAGCGAGGTACTCTTCCAGGGACACAGGTCTAGTACAAGAGAACTCTTGAAAACGTCACTAAGTTCAGCCAGTCTTAAAAAGCTGCGCTGTATTTCTGCAAAGCTTTAACTGCAATAGTTGTATAAGGATGCCAACGAAGGCTGAGGGAGTAGAGCAAACTTAGTTCTAAGCTTCAGTTAAACTTCTTTAGGTAAGATCTTATTTACTTTTTTTCTTTCTTAATGTTCCAAAACTGAGAAACTAATACTATGTGACAGTGTTCTTTCAGTATAGTGATTGTTGTTATGTAGTTTAACATAGCAATGAATTGTGTTAACAATTATCAACTGAAGAGAAATATGTGAATCCTGTTTTCTTGTATTAAATTTTCTACGTACAGATTTTTGTGAATTTCAGCTACTTAACATATTTTTTTCCTACTGGAATCTAGCTATGATATGAATCCTGGACAAGCATAGACTGCTGCCACTGTACTCTGCTACAGTTGAACAAATGAGACCTGCAAGTGTCCATTAGTAAAGCTTTGCAAGGGTTCCATCCCTGGTGTTGGTAGTTAAAATGGTAGGTCACATGTTAATTAAATCATACCACTTTATTTATGCATCCTGCAACATTTTGTTTTTTCTTGGGAGACTGTGCATTATGGTGGTTGCAAGGTAATGCAATGAAGGTAGCGCTGTGCTGTTACAAATGAACTGTGTTGTTCTGTGTCTTGTCGACTGTAATCTATAACGCGTTTCATCCTGAAGGTTCCCAAGTAACTTTAGGCTGTTTACGTGTAAGGAAAAAAAAAATTGCACCACAGAATACATCTGCCTCTGTGAAGGAATGTGTCGTCCATTCTTGTAACTGCATAAGCAGTTCTTTAGGAGGAGAAGTGAAAGCTTCGAATGAAACTGCAGGTGGTATTTTATGAGTGTACAATGTAATCACCTAAATTGGAATTTGGCTAGAAGATGAGGTTTCCACCATTTTTTATAGTTCTTGCAGCTAATAAACCTTAGTGCCAAATTCAGTCAGCCTTACTCTCATTGCATTGAATGTTTGATCGTCAAATTAACGAAAATTTGCCAAGTAATGAGTCATCTGAGTAAGGGTGGCATACTCCATGCAATCTGGTTTTTAAACAAAAACCCACAAAATGTTTAAAAAAAAAAAAAAAAGCCCACATCCTAATTTCAAAGTTCCATTGCTTTTGACAGGCTAATTACTGAAGAATGTGGACTCAGCTAACGACAGTCCTGTTCCTTTTGTGTTAGACACACCAGTGAACTGCTTATACTTTTTAAAAATGGCTGAAGTTCCCCTATTGGTAATTTGGTTTAGACATATGTGATAAACTTCTTCAGATACACTTTTTTTTTCTTTGGCAGGAAGGTGCCATGCTGCAGGTAACTAATGAAGAAGTGGTCAACCACAGAAACGCTTCAAGAAATAAGAAATTCTGTATCATCAGAAAATAGTTGTTTTTGCTGCCTTCATTAAAAACCTAGAGGTTAAATGAATACCGATAAAATATCACAATTAGTACAGCTCCCTGTAATGATGGGTTTTTTTAAATGATAGTAATAATTGTCTTGTAAACATTTCGAATAAAACTCAGATCCGTTAGGAGAAACAAATTACTAATGTTAAAATAGCGAACATTCTGTGAGTTGAAGGTTTAACTACATATTTTTATAACTTTCATAGCTTTAAAATAAAGTATTTTTTATACCAAAGTAGTTCTAGTGTAATGCTTAATAAAATTTAGTGTGTGTCTAACATTAAATAATGTTGATTTGCAGCTTTTAGAACCTTTGACGATTTGAAATGTGCCATTTTCAGGTGGAGTTAAAACCAAATTTACTTGGCAAGTGTATGCACAAAACTTGTATCTCGGAAAGTATGCATCTGTTCTCTGTTGGGAGAAACAGTGCTGCAAACAAAACAAGCTGATTTTTTGCTTTTGGATGCAATTGCTTTAAAACAGCTATCTGGCTGGGTTTTTTTATTGACTTAAAAAAAAAAAAAACAACCCTACTCCTTTCCCTTTAATGCAACTTACCACTTACAACAGTTCATCGGTAGCTTTATCCTTCTTACCTATAAAGAGCTTTTAGTGTCAACGAAGAAAGATTTAATGGAAAGTAAACTTCCTGCTGTACCAGAACCATATTGCTGATGGTTGCATCTTCAAACAACAATCACGAGCTTGGGAAAGCTCTAGTTGGGAATGTGTTTGAGGGAAGGTGTCTGTTCCAACCTATTGCTTGCATACATAATTGATTCTAAACTTGAAATGTCTGTGCCTGGTTCCAGTAGACTCATGCGTTTAACCTTTATTATAATCCCAAAACACTATTTAAGGATTTCAAATGACTTTTTTTTTTTTGTATGTCAAGTTGAACTTTGTAATATTTGCATAGGTATCCAGTGGGCTGCAATGGAAGCAGAAAATGAAGATGTGCAAAATCTGCTTTACTTTCCTCTTTCCAACAGAATGATTTAATCACTTGATTAGGAATTTGCCTTTTTTCCTGGAACTTCAGGTTTAGTTAATGGACGTTTTTCCTTACAGTTGACAAGTTGGCATTCAGATCACATAACTACAAAAAAATACTTCTGAAGGGAATAATAATCATCTCTCTGCTTGATATTTACACTCTTTCAATAGTTTCATATTTACTTTACATCATTTGCATGGAAGTGTATGTTGTTTTGATCCACTGGTGATGGGAGTCTTCTTAAGGGGTGAGTGGTGGCGTGCAAAAACAAAGCTATTGGATTGAAGTCTTGAAAGCTCATTGTTTTACTGTTAAACTTCTGCAACTTTTTCTTTTCATGGTACATTCTTAAGAATTAAGACAAGATAATCACAATGTTGGCTGATGAGTTCAGCACAGAAGCTATCATCTTGAGTCAACCTAACACTGAAAACAAGCAATTCTGAACAAAAACTACAGTGATCAATTACTGCTCCTTAATGTGTATTTTTTAATTTATGAGAAGTAGGTTTTATGTCCCTCTGTTACCTTCTTTTGAAAACAAACTAATGCTGTTATTCAGGTATGTTGCAGTTTCATAAGAAAACAAATCAGGTTGTAAATTACAGGCCCAGCTTGCCTCAGCAAGCCCATTCTGCAGCAAGGTGCAATAATGTGATAGTCAATATGACTTGTTGGTAAATGTTGTGGGAGGAAAAAATGCACACTTGTGTGTTTGAAGTACAGTGGATTGACTTACTTGTAGCAAGTGGTGGTGAAGACAAGTTAATGTTGGGGTACTGGCTGCTCAGGCTCTATTCTCTGTCATTTACAATGAAAGCTGAATGTAATTTGCTTTCTCTAATACTTCAAGTGATGAAAAGTGTATAGGAAATGAGAGAAGTTGCACTTACTATCATGTCGCATGTTGGGAGGAAGAATGCATTCTTTGAGTTGTGATGATTGTACATGAAATCTTCTTACTTGGATGGGGGAGGGGGAGGAGGTGGTGAAGCCAAACACAAAACTTAATGCCTGTAAAGAGTTCTGTCAGCTGATCTCATTTCAGTAACTCAGCCACACTGGAGAAAGGGGATAACTTGCTGAGAACATAATGAAGCAGTACATTCACCCCCTGTAACTTTAGTGTTTCGATTCATTTTCCAAGCAGAGTGCATGATGCAAGTGAAATCCTATAATGGTGCTGTCACTGTTTTCTTTTAGCTGAGATGATAAATTCTCATTCACACAATCTTTACCTGGGAAACCCCCTTCATGTTACATTGATCTGTTTTGCCACAAGTTATACCTTCCCTTTTAACAGTTGTTCTCTTGCTTTGCAGCTCTTAGTGCCTGTTAGAAGCAGAAGTTTGAGTGTTAGCACTTAGGGGAAGGGAGAAGCACATAGTCCACCATAAAGGGTGTCTGTGGAGAAATCCCTATGAAATTGTTGTTCTCATAGAGTTTTCACCAGTCAGATGGTTTTTTACCTTCTTGCATACTTGGTCAGTTCCTAGGCATTGTATGATGATTTATTATAGCCTGTGTCATCACTGAAGCTGCAATGCATTTGCACAGTACACCACAGTAATAAAAGTTCACACAGCTGGATGTGTCATCTTGATACCTGATTCTCCAATAAATACAAATTGGTGGTGGGTGTCCTGTGGTCTCTTTTATAGGCCTCCTCTTACTCTGTTCTCTAGAATGGTGTTTAGAGCTTCATTTTCCATAACTACAAGTGGGTGTATTTGGGAGCAAAAAGGTACTGAGCTTTTCAAACTAAAGTTGATAGCAAGGCAGTTGCATTGTCACATCTTCCCTCTAAGTTTCTTAGTCCTGTTGATCAGATCTAAAGTAAGACTTCAAGCTTTGTAGAGGAAGTCTTAATCAGTAAAAATGTGCTTCTGAAGAAAGTGAGGTCTACCCAACAAAACCATCACATGAAGCTAAAGCTACATTGTGCTGCAGTGCTGCTAGTGCCAAGCCAAAGCTTGCGTGGTGTTAAAGCAACTGCCATGTTCTGTGAGGGGTTGCTTACAGCATTCCTGTCTGTATAGTGGTTTTTCTTTTGTAATGCTGAGAAAATTGCATTCTAATAAAGTACTAAACCTATGTTTTAACTAATAACTACTCTGTAGTGCCTGTAAGTATTGCTACCAATAGTAGCAAGGAAATGCACAAACCCACCACCACTCACTGCTTTCCTTCATACATCTTAGAGGTGACCTTTTCTAACCTTGTACAGACATTGCAGTTCAGCAAAAAGCATTTCACAACACGGGTGTTAAAAAGTAATTCAGAACAATCTGCAAATTAGTAATTAATGATTTGTAGCTCATCTTCATTTTGAAGTTGTCTAGCAATTTCCAGTGTAACAAAGGTTTATTTTCATTGCTCCTACATGTCATTTTTGTACACTTTGTACACTTAAATGCAACCCAAATAGTTTCCATGTTTTTTTTCTTTCAAGCCTTTATCAGTATAAAAAGCAAAAACAACAACAAAAAAAAAACTTCATACCTAAGAGATCCCTGCACCTAGTAAAAAAAAAAGAAAAAAACCAAGCATTCAATTTTCAACAGATAAATTGTCACAAGATGGCAGTGCACTGATGGTCTTAAGTAAAATATGCAACTGTGTATTGTTATAGCTATGTAAGTGTTAGAGCCAAATTCCCTTTGAATTATGGACAGGAGAAAACTACGCCAGTGAATTTCTAATCTCATTAATGTTGAGCACATTACCAAAGTTGAACAGAGAAGAGTAATTAATGGGGCAGGAAGCACTGTGCAACCTAGAGATTCTCAATGCCAGGTGTTCCAACTGTAAACAATAAGCTGCAAGGAAAACATTACTAAGGCTCCTACAGTGGAAATCTCATAAGGTGCCACTTGAGTCCTGAAAGGAATATAGGGAGTCACTCCATGGGTAATGACTGCAGCTATGAGCTGCAGAAGAGGGACCCTCTAAGATAACAACTGGGTTTTCTGGTGGAAAAAAAAGCACACAAAGTAAACAATTGTAGAATAAAACCAGAAGATTAACAAAGCAAACAAAATGGGTTTTCTGCTAGTACTGACTGGCCTAATTTGCAGTGGGTTTGTTTTCGACAACAGCATCCCTGTTTGCACTTTCCCCTGTATTTACAGCTGTAATCTTCAGCTCCAAATGCTTATTAACTACTAGTATTTAGAAACTTAAGCGTTGCTTTAGAGAAACACACTGAGCTGCTGTTTAAATACAAATTGGCATTAGGTTTCAGAACGCAATCATTAGCTGAACTAATTAAGCTGTCTAGCAGCTCCATCTAAGAGTGAACATCAGGTCACATGAAAGATAGATCTTAATAGCTTTCAAATCCTAAACAAATTACTGAGACAAAAATTCACACTGAGCCGATGAGAGATGCTGTAAAAGGTGGACATTAGGTTGTTTAAATTCTTCAGGAAAGTTTTATTGTGTTGATTTGCTCACAAATTGTCTGTTAATTAGATATAACAGTAAATTATCATTCAATAACCACTGGCTGTAATCCAATCCATTAAACAGGTGTTTCCCATATTTACCTCTAGCATGTTTGTAGTCTGTGAGGACAGAAGCTGGAAATGGGCCTCCAAGGAAACCTAGTTGTTTCAGTTACCCTGTAACAGAAAAAACAACAAACCCCACTTAAAGCGCAGCTATCTTATACAAAAGGAGGTAAAAACAAAACAAAAAAACCCTAGTCCAGGAGGCAACTAAGCATAACCCTGTGAAATACAGTTGCTGACCCTGCCATCCAGTCTTTGCTCTGACAGGCAAGTCGAGTAGAATAACCCCATAGCAATAGTGCTGTACTCTGTCCCAAAAAAATCAAAGTCAGGCTTTTCTCCTCCTTGGGGGCTGCACCACCTGCTAGTGTGAAAATAGCCAAAGTGCCAGGGCAGCAACAAACAGAGGGACCAACAAAATCTGTTCTCAACCCTCAGTTCACAGTAGCTTTCAAACAGAACAAAAGACAAAGTGAACTTGTTTCAGTTTAACATCATTATTTTTCTGCCTTCTGGTGTACATAAGTGTACACAAAGATCCCAACAATCGACTTTCCTAAATGTAATTCTGTGAACACAAAGATTTACACAAATGATGAAAGCAGTATAATACAGTCTTGATGACTAAGTGCTTGCAAGCAAAAAAATTTTTTTTTTTTTTGCCACAAATGCAATACATTCAAAATAAAATTGAGAAGCTGAAGATTTATTATAAGTAATCTGTGTAACCATTAGAACATTTCAACTATACAAACTATGCTAGGCCAGAAATTTCTGGGAAGGTGAACAAGGGTGTCTTTTATAGTCATAAGTCACAATTCCTCTTCCTACCTTGCAAAAGGTACTTCCAGATCCTAAAGGAAGAAATCAAATATTCCTTCCAAAACCATTCACCACTCAGTTTCTTCTACTGCTCTTAACTAAACCCATCCGTGATAGAACTTGACATTCAAAAACACTGGCAACCTATTACTCTAAAACACATCGTAAATTCCTGTTTCTGATGTCTTCTGGATTTCACTCCACAACTATTAACAGCACAAACTATACAAAACCTGCAGTTGTAATAACCTCATACACATTTGAAAAGCAAATACCTTACTACCACTGTTTTTTCCACCAGCAGGTATTCAAATATATCTATTCACATTTCTTACGTTGCTTCAAGAAGTTACCTACCAACACTGTGCAACTGGCTTCAAACGTGGTGCCTGTCAGATGTCTACTACATCTATTCTAGACCCCCCCCCAGTAATACCATCCAGGCTGCAAGCACACACTACTGCAGACACTCCTCCTTGTTCCAGTGAGTTGTTAGCATCTAGCCACGTGTTTTGAAAACAAAAGCACTAAGACTTCACACAGCATGGCTCAGCCATGTCAGCTGTTATAAACCAGGAATACTCTACATGTTTAACACATACACACAGTTAAAACCAACTTACTTTGGAAACAGGTGGGAATAAGATGAAAACTGATGCAAATGGTATCACTAATTCAAAACATCAGTTTTCATAAAGGTGGCTTGATACCCTCTAAAAATATGAGCCTTTTAAACTGCTTCTAGAACATAAACTGCAGTTTCACACACTGTTTAGTCCTGTGCTGACATTTTGCAACAGAAATTATTTCAACCCAAGGAACTGTGGATGCCCCATCCCCGGAGGCATTCAAGGCCAGGCTGGATGTGGCTCTAGGCAGCCTGGTATAGCAGCTGGTGACCCTGCGCATAGCAGGGGGTTGAAACTAGGTGAGCATTGTGGTCCTTTTCAACCCAAGCCATTCTGTGATTCTATGAATTCAGCATCTCTCCTGATAGATCTGATGAAGGTTATAACATTTATTCAGTCTCTTTCAGAGTGCTCATTTCTGCTCAGCCTGTCAGAGACTACCTTTGCTGTCCCTGAGATGCCTTCTACAGTGCTCAGTACTGACATTCTCCAAGGGACTTTCTTCTTCTCCTCTCTACCTTCACAGAGACTAAATCATTAGTGCATCCTCACTGACAATACCTTCATGATGCACTGAATAAATACAGAAGTAGTCAGGAGCTGCCCCTTCTGATAAAACTACAACGCAGTTTCATTTTTCAAATGTTCTTCTTTTGAGCCACTATAAGCTAATATACTTTCGCAGGTACCCAGCTCCCAACTGTCTCAAATTAGCTGACTGCCTATAACAACAACCATCCTGCCAATTCACAACTTTGAACAGGGACAACTGCTGAACCCCAGTATGATATTCTAGCTTCTCTGAGATTCAAGTATCTCAATTTCACCTTATCCTCCATAAGCAATTCCTTTTCTATCATCCACACTCTTATTCTTTCTCCTTATGCCTGCTAACCCCCTCACCTCCTCTCACGTACACTTCTCACACACTATCTGCATCTGGAATACCTTCCCCTATCTCCAGATAGCAGCAACGTGCTGGCATACATGAACTCTACAACATTCACTCCCTTCCACTGCTCTCGGCCACTTGGGTGACTTGGCTTTTTTGAAACCACTGTACCTTCCTCAGCACACTGCAACAAAAATCAAAATTAAACATTCAAAGACAGAAAGTACCCCAACTGCATGGAGTTCTTCTCTTAACCCACTCTTCTGACACTGCCCAGTCCTCTGCACATCCTCTTTCTAAACCTAGCTAAGTCCTGGCTAATATGCAGCAGCCTCCCAGGAGCCAAAGTTAGTCTCATTTACCTATTTGTAGACGACCCTCCACAGCAATACTGCCAGGCCATAGTGCCCAGAAAATTGAAAGCATTAAAAATAAAAATATCCTGAGTTAAGCACACAGCTTCAGTGTGACTGCTTTCACAGGGAGAAAAGCCTCCAGAAAAAAAGTCTACTGTTTCTCCTTACTTTCAGCTTACCGAACCTCCGATGCTTTCCAAGAAAGCAAAACAAAACCACGTATTTCAAAGCGTTCTATGGGTACAAATACTTCAAAGGGTATCCAAAATCCGGGATGATTCACCCCATTCAATACTTTTTTTTTTTAGTTCTGTAAGATTCTGCTTCTAGTTGTGTTCAAAGCATTACACGTGCAAAAGATTTTATATATCATCCTCCAAAATGCCCTGCCTAAGTAATTAGCATAGTGACCACAGCACTAACAGTAAAAGTTAGCCTCTATATCTTTGCTTCCTTAACTTTTGTATTTTAAACTGTAATGTTACACTGTTCATTATTAAGGCAGACACCCTTTACATTAGCACAGGAATTCAGCTCTCAGAACAGGCTTCAAAATCTGTTGTAAAAAACATGATACATCCACACAGCAAACCTTTTTCGTTTGGATGAGGACAAAGCCTTCTTTCTCTGTCCCATACCAATTTGGAGCACATCCTACCTGCAGCACAATAGCCAGCACAGCAGCTGCTGCCTTCACTCAGGTATTGGCTCTTCAGCTGACATGGGTAACATCAGTGTTTATGGGTTCACACAGTTTGGAAGGGGACAGTGTTTTTACTGGGAGATTCAGGCCACAGATAAGTTTTAGAGCTACCTAGTCCATTTCTAGTAACCCATATCATTCCTTGAAAGACAAAAGAACTCATCCAATTTTTATCCTCCAGTTCTTCATCTG